TATATATATAGGTTATACCTATATATTATATATATATATATATATATATATACAAATATGTTTGTATCTAATATTGCATGTGTATATGTGTATTCATGTATACTCATTCTCTATAAATTCACCTGCATGTACATAAAAATATACAGTCAATTCTTCACTCAAGGACCAGATTTTTGAGTATGCGTTTTGATTGTGTAGGTCGACATTTCTACACATGCAATGATCAGTGATATTTAAATACAAACATGGATGAAGCTGATACCTTAAAACAAAAGCAGCACTATTTATTATGATCAGCTTGTTGTTTGTCTTGACGTTGTAACCTGCATCGAGTGGAAGAGATGAATACGTTAAAAGCACGCAAATTAAATAGAGAATACTTCTATAGTCATTAAGCTTTAATGCAACAGGAGCCGCATCAAACACCAAATCAAGCGAGGACATGTGCATGCTCAAACAGAACGCCTTACATCGCCACTGGTGAGAGGTATTGAGCACAATGGATGGACATTGATATGCTTGGTAATCACGAGGGATTCAAAGGGGAATCTAAGTGCCACACACCCTTCTGCTTGCCCTCGTTTTCCACAGACAACGAGTACCCACAGTCGAATTCGTGAATCATTTGACCAGGCTTCATCAAGCTATACAAATCGCGCTGCGGGAGATTTGAATTCAAAGTTTTTAAGTTTAAAATTAGTCGAATGCCCTCACTCAATACTCAACCGGATTAATCATCAGTTCCTGCATTTTACTGCTCATGTGTGAGCACTGCACAACCCACTCCGCTCTCATGTGAATAAAACAGCAGACGCCATTCGACACTCGTATAATACGGGTCAGCACATCAGGCACATCCTTAAAAGACTTCAACATCACATCCTTATAAGATTTAAACATAGAACGTCACGTCTACCGACTACTTACATCGAGATTGTCGATCAAAGCCAGATAGCTGTAATACTTTTCGTTGTTCTCCATTTCTCCTTTCTCGGTATTGGTAGACCTGTAGATAAAAGGTTCAGAACAACACGGCGGTCAGGCAGCCAACAACAAGAGTACAACACATTGCTTTAAAGAAATTGAGCTGACGAGTCACGCATGATACTAGACTTGCTGCTACACACGTGTTCACAGTTTCACATATACTATCCCATGTACTCAAGCTGCGGCCTAGCCACCAAGTACCACATACATCAATGCCGCTTCGATTTTATGGCAGATATTCAGTAGATCGTCGTAGTCGAAGTGGTCGGGTTCTGTATGTTTGAGAACCTCTGTCAAAGTGCAAAGTTGTAATGAGCAATTGAAGTTAGTGTCCACCCTTGACGGATTGTTGAAAGCGCTGGAATGGAGAGATCTCTCGAGCCGGTGCATTCACAATCATACATATGCGTAGAAATCGCACACGCACTAGGCAAGCAGCCACGACAGGCTTGTTATTACCAGTCATCTGAGTCCTTATTCTTGTACTAAATTGGAATACGCTGCAGATTAGGGCAGAAATTCCGGGTTTGTAAAAGTCGTTCACTTTCTTGACAATGACGTCCTGTAGGGAAGTAATCGGTTGCAAAACGTTAGTGCACGACTCCGATACGGACTTCCCAAAGTTTACTAGGACCACTCAACGTTTATACCGACAATGACCGTACAAATATTATGTTCTCCGCAGTGCATCGTGTGCTACCATGGATGGAACCAAAGTTCAAAGTAAAATTGGGAGTTGAATGGAGATCACACACGTCAAGCTTTGATCTCATGGTGCATGCACATATATGCAGAGCTGTATCGATATCTGTTTGTATAATTGTTTATACATATATGTACGAGACACGTTTATGAATACATATGAATACTCTATGGGTTTGCAAGTAGACAGACATTCAGCTATACATTCACATTATTATGTGAAGGAGTATACATTTACACAGCTAGCTATCTTTGAAACTGCATACCTGCCACCATTGACCAGCCTTTGGGTATTTCTCGGACAAAGTTTTGAATTGTGTGTCATAAAGAGGGGTCTCCAAAACAAAAATTGACATGCAATCAAAGTAGCTCGCTTTCTTCCCCTAAAACGCAGGAGTAGATTGCAATCAAACGGCAGTTGCATGTGCTAATGTATAAACGAAGTTCCACTTTTTTTGTTGCAAGTCGTCAACTTTGACTATACGCCCCTCTGTGCTCCTGTGAACCCTGGAATCAAGCAGACTATGGATATTCAGTGACTTCTTCAATATGACACACACTTGCACAATCGCTTTCACATCTAGCTCTAGATATAACCAAATATGTTTCATACTTTTACAAAACCACACATTTGAATATTCCCGTTTGCTGAAGTAGAAAGGTGTGTAGCGCTAAAGATTATTAAGTTACAAAGAATACAAAAGATATCGTGAAC